CCCTGACGGATTTAGAAAAATTATGCAACTTCATTACACTCCCCCTTCTTTGACAAAAAAAAAAATGTTTTTCTACCCTAACATTTTTTTTTTAATTTATAATTACAAAACAAAAAAAAAAATAACAAAAAGAAGTATAATACATTCTATCGAAATAATGAAATAATAAATAAATAAAAAAAAATCTTCTCGGCTGTCTCGGTCCCATATTCCCTCTTCTATTTTAAAGCCCGGATTGACCGCCGGTCCGGTATTATGCTGAAAGAAATGAACGGCTCACGGTCGGTTTTATAAATTCGGTTAAAAAAATTTAGTTGCGGTTTATCGGACGCATGCCACAGGAACACCCACATAGTGGACAGGCGTGGAATCCCTCTCGTCGGCGTCGGCAAGATCCTTGGGGTTTGGAAGATGTTTTCGGAATTCGCTTATTCTTGTTGAATTGTGGCAGAATGACTGGAGGGTATATGATTAGGCAAATACATTTGGACGACATGACCCCCACTTTTCCGCAGCCTGAGCAAAACAAGATGGGCTTTCCAGTGCATGATCCCCTTTTATGCCCTGGTCGCCCACATCGCCAGCATAGACCTTGCGATACGGGCAGGAAATGCGGCATGGTGGTGGGGTTACTGTTAATGATGTCCGACTCGGTCCATTCATAAGGTGTATTATTCTCCATTCCCATGGATCTTGGAAATGACTCAGCTTTGGTCAAGTCGTCAACAGGGATATTCAACCGTTGGATATCTTCGGTGGGGTTTTCTGGAGAGCCAGTTTCCGGAATTTTGGTGAGGCCGTTCTGAGGGACAGGCTGAGTTTCAATGGAGTCTTCACGAAGCAGAATTGTCTCAGCCCCAGATGCCTTTGTCTCGGTCGTATCATTTATGGCAGCCGCTAATTCATCCATTAATTCCTCGGTGGAGAGCAACTGCAGAGTTGGAGAGTCCATTTCTGTAAGTTATTCATCATCAGAATTAGGTTAAGCTTACCCTGGGATTTGGGGTGCGGGAATAAATGCTAATTGTTAACATTCAACAAATATATTTACAATTATACAAAAAAAATAAAGAAGAACAATATCACAGAAAATCAGACTTATACGGAAAATAATATCACCCAAAAAAAAAACAAAAAAAAATTCTTTCTCCCCTCCCAAATTAACACAAAACTTCATTAAAACTAAACGGTGACGTGGACCTTCTGTCCACCGGACGTGAGAAGGCGGACCCGGAACTTGCCCACATGGGTTGCGGGTCGCAGCTTTTTAAGCTCCTGCCTGAACTTTTCCGTCCACAACTTCTTGTTTCTCTGCTGGAAAACGGTGTCGGCAATGTGAGTTTTCCAGAGAGGTTGGTTTACTGACTCGGCGGTAGGTGGGGTTTCAGGAATAGGAATTAATGTAGGATCAGGTACTTTTGTAGGAATTGGGTGTAAAGTGAAAGGAATTCTTATCATAAGGGACGGTTTTTTTTTTCTTGCGGGTACGGTTTCGTTGTAGGATGGGGTGAATGTGAGTTCGGTTTCGGAGGGTGATGAGGTGAATGCGGGTTCGGTTTCGGGGGGTGGTGCGGTGAATGCGGGTTCGGTTTCGGGGGGTGGTGCGGTGAATGTGGGTTCGGTTTCGGGGGGTGGTGCGGTGAATGTGGGTTCGGTTTCGGGGGGTGGTGAGGTGAATATAGGCGAGATTGGATTGGCAGCGGAAAGGAGTGGTTTGTGATGGCTGGGTTTCTGTATAGGATCCTTGGAGAACTGCAGCTTCTTACTGCGAACCCAGTTCTTGATGGCCTGCATCCTCATCATCTGCTGTCGTCGCAAATATACATTGTCCATTTTTGGACACCGTACTTCACCTACGGGAGCTCCACGGGGCGGTTCCCCGTTAGCACGACCGGAATTATTTTTCGGCATAGTTTGCTTTTCTGTAACAAAAAGTTTTAATGTGATGGCTTTAAATCTTTAACGTGTACGCGTCGGATTAATTTCCCGCTGGAGCTTTTCAAGTCATACACGACGGGTGAGATAACTTTAAAAACCGTATATGGCCCGGAATACTTTGGTGCAAGCTTCGCGGCGAAGTTTTTGATTGCGGAAGAAAGATGATGTTCGCGTTTCATGACCCGATCTCCAACTTGACACCTCCAATCTCTACGTCGGAGATTGTAATGATGGCTTTGGGTGGTAAAAGCACGGGCCAAATTGACGCGCACCAACTCATAAACTTCTTGGAGTCGTTTTAAACGTTCGGTGGTCGGTATAGGGTCGGGATTGGTATTGTCATCGGGAGCGGAGTTTGGGATATCCTTGCGAAATAGTGACTTCGGTGATTCTAATTCCCTTCCAAAATTCAAAAATGCTGGAGTGAAACCGGTACTGGCATTGCGAGACGTGTTATAGGCAAATAAAAGGTCAGGAAGGAAGGCATCCCACTTCTTGTGGTTGTCCTGACAATACTGGGCAATCATTGTCTTGATTGTTTTGTTTGCTCTTTCTACCGAATTTGCCTGTGGCGTGTACGGCGGTGTCAAACGGTGCTGAATGCCATAATCATCCAGTAGTTCTTTAAACGTTTGTCCAGTAAATTGGGTTCCGTTGTCAGTTATTATTGTGTTTGTTCTCCCAAACCTAGATAGAATAAGCTCATGCAATGCTTGGCTTACAGCTCGACCAGTAGCATTTCTAAGGGCTCGACATTCTACCCACTTGGTAAAACGGTCTTGAAAAACCACTAGGAAGCAGTTTCCTTTGGAGGAACGGGGCAATGGTCCAACAAGGTCGGCACTTATGGTCTCCCATGGGGAGTTATTTTTAGACGGTCGCATCTTTCCGGGTGTTTGTTGTTGAGAGGACTTGAATTCCTGACAGCATTTGCAGTTTCTGACATATTGGGCCACATCGCGAAACATTCCAGGCCAGTAGTATCGAAGGGCCATCCGAGCGGTGGTTTTCGCGATTCCCATGTGGCCTGCGGTCGGAAGGTCGTGGTTCTCCTTTAGTACGGTTTCTCTAGCGGGCCTTGGTACGCAAAACTTCCAAGGATCTGTCATGTCTGGTTCAGTTAGATCCGAAGAATCCCAGAAATGTCGAAACAACTTTCCATCTCGAACACAGTAGTCTGGAAACGCGGCGGGATTTTTCTCTACTTCTTCCTTCTTCTTTCGGTACCAAGGGCAATCTTCCTCTATTTCCAGCGCGATGAGAGGATCGCCATCCTCTTCCATATATGCTAACATGGGTTGACGGGATAATGCGTCGGCTACTCGATTCAGCACGCCTTTGCGGTACTTAATTTCGAAATCGTATTGCTGAAGAAACACGCTCCACCGAGCAAGACGTCCACTAGGACTTTTCAGAGAGTGTAGCCATCGGAGAGATTGATGATCAGTGAGGACCGTGAACCTGTAACCTTCGAGATATGGACGCATCTTCTCGACTCCCCATACTATTGCTAAACATTCTTTCTCAGTGACGGAATACTTCTTCTCAGCTGACGATAGGCTTCTGCTTGCAAAGGCTATGACATGGTCACCATCATGATTATGTTGTATCAATGCTACTCCCAAGCCTAAGTCACTTGCATCGGTTTGCAGAATGAACGGCTTTTGAAAATCTGGACAAGCCAGAATTGGCGCATTGGTTAACCTTGTCTTTAAATGTTGAAATGCTTCATCTTGTTCACTCGTCCAAGTCCAACGAGTGGCTTTCTTCAGAAGTCGATTTAACGGAGCCGCGATCTGTGCAAATCCGGGAACAAACCTACGGTACCAGGATGCTATTCCTAAGAATCTGCGAAGACCACGGACATTTACGGGAGGCGGTAATTCCAATATAGCAGCTACCTTGTCGGGATCGGTGTGAATTCCGGTTGCGGTAACCATATGACCTAAATACTTCAAATAACGGCGGCCAAATTGACATTTTTCTGGGTTGATTTTCAGATTTGCATTTCGGAGACGGCCAAATACTTCCTGTAGATGGCTTAGGTGCTCTTCGAAAGTTTCCCCCAGAATAATGATATCGTCTAAATAAGCGAAACAGTTGGGCTCCAACTCGGGGCCAATTATTCTATCTATAAGCCTCTGGAATGTAGCCGGAGCGGAATGGAGACCAAACGGCATGACCTTAAAATGAAAAAGGCCTCGGGATGGCACGGTAAACCCTGTAATTGGTCTGCTCTCAGGGGCAACTGGTATCTGCCAATATCCCTGCTTCAAATCAATGCTAGAGATATATCTGGCTCTTCTCAGCTTATCCAGGATAGCGTTGATATAGGGCAGAGGATAGGCATCTTTCCTGGTAACGGAATTCACCATTTTATAGTCCACGCAGAAACGATACGACCCATCTTTCTTTTTCACCATAACGATTGGTGAACTCCACGGGGTATCAGATGGTTCGATGATTCCTTCTTCCAGCATTCTATCTACCTCTAAATTAATTACTGCCTGGATTTTGGGGTTTTGTGGGCGGTAGCGTTGTTTAATCGGCTCTTTGTTTATTAAATGTATTCGATGTTCAATTAAAGATGTCGGTCCTTCAATTGAATCAAACAGCGACAATTGATGATCCAAAAATTCATTCAACTTCATTGCTTCGGCGGGCGTCAAAGTCAGTGGTTCGGGGTCTACTGCTTTGGTACATTTTCCGATGCAAAATAGAACTTCATTTTTCATGGTTACCTGGTTGTTTCGTAAATTTATAACAAATTCATGTGTCTTTAGGATGTCCATTCCTAAAACAATATCACAAGCCAGGTTTGGCAAATAATTAATTACCCCAGTGAAATTCTGCTTTGTTGTATTCATCCGAATACGGTACGCCTCTGTTATGGAAGCGAGCTGGCCATTGGCTACCTTAACTCTTTCAACAGAAGGCGTTATCTTCGGAATTTTGCTAAAACGGCAAAGTTCCACTAATACATCTCCCATATATGAATTAGTGGCTCCGGTGTCAATGAGGGCGTAAAATACTTTGTCTTGAACGGTGACTTGTATTTTCGGTCTGTCATCTATTGCGTTAGATAAGATATCAAGTGAGACCTTATCGGCATTTTTCTGTACAGGTCTCGTCTGGGTACAGGGCCTTACTAGTTTTCCGGTTTTCCACAGGGACAGTCACGGGACATTATGTCCTGCTTGCCACATCTTGAACAGAATAGTTTTCTCGGGGCTTGACATTGACTCCTTAAATGTCCGGTACCCCCACAACGCCAACAAACTAGTTCTGCTTTACTATTCGTATTTCTTTCTCGTGACGGTCCCGGCTGAACAAGGGGTGCAGGTGTGGAAATGGGTGGTCGTACGGCTGACATGTTTGGGTATCTGGATGCCTCCAGAGATGCAGGGATCGGTCGTCTGTATTGGGAGTCTTGTCTATTTCCAGTGGCGGGTCGAGAGACACTGATTTCTTTATTTAACAGTTCAAATTCGCGAATTAGCCTGGCCAGGGATGTAGCATCGGTGAAGTCGCTTCTGCGAATATATTGACGGTATTCGGGTAGTAAGTTCCGGTATAGCCAGTTCAACTGAGTATCTTTACTCATATTGCCATGTCTTCGGAGGAGTGTCTGGAGTTCCGTGACATAGGAAGAAGAGGATTCATTTCTTCTCTGTGTTCGGCGGCTTATTTCGGCTTCCAGGTCTACTTCGTAATTAACTGGAAAATAGAATTGTCGGAATTCGGAAACAAACTCATTCCAGTTCCTCCAGCTAGGCTTGTTATTTCTGAACCACAGGGCAGCTTCACCTTGAAGTAAGTCGGGCATATGGAGTAACATCAGATCTCCGGAAATGTTTTCAGAGTCACAAATTTCTGTCAATCTTTCCAGGAAATTTGCCGGATCTTTATATCCGTCAAAGCTCAAATTCCATTCTCGGGTTCTCATATGTGGTCTTGGTGGTGTCGGTGGGTTTTGGTACACCAGTGGATTATGAGGCGGCGGCGGATAATACATCGCATTAGGGTAGGTCGGATAATATTGGGGTTGAATTGGCTGGTAATACTAAGGAATATGTTTTGGTGATGTTGACGTGGTTGTGACGGCAGTTGTTGTAGTTCCACTAGAACCTGCACTTTGAGTTGCGGTTGAAGCTGCGGAAGTCGTCCAGGTTATTGTTGTAGTGGTAATTAATGACGCCGTTGGGACCGGTGTAGTTGTGGAGGGAGGAGGAAAAACAAACGCGCCATTTCCTGATGGCAGGGGTGTTGCCTTGCCATCTCTAATGAATCTGGCAAGTCGGCGTCGCAGCTGCTCAACGTTCCCAGAATCGTCCAGGTTGAATTTCTGTAGTTGCAATAACAGATCGTTTTTTCGTAGCAGATAGATCCAGCTAGTCCGAAAATCACTAGAACTATGGTCTGGTGGCGGAGATGCTGTTGGTGGATGTATTTGTATCAATGGCCGTTGTTCTACGTCTTCCTCAGGATTCTCGGGATCGGTATTGAGGTGCATTGCTTCGGTAGCTTCTTTTTCATCATTTTCGGAACCGGAACCGGAATCGGATGTCATCGTCATGTAGCTAAAAAACAGTTGTTGTAAGACAAACATTTTAAAAGGGATCTCTTTCGCTCAGGCCGGGTTGGCGTTTTCAGTTTGTACTTGCGCACTAGGGTCCCTGCTCGGGCGCCATTTTTGTAACGTTTCCCTATTTCCCTGTCTGTCCCGGTATTTCGGGCTTCTCGGGCGCCACCCCTCTGTGATTTACAGCGTCAAAGGGGACCGCTGATATGCCTGTCGGGTAGCCTTTAAACAGTGAAGAAGACGGTGATCCAAGGTTCAGTGCAAATAATACAACTTGTTTAACAAAATTAGTTCAATATATTCTTACCCACTATGAAACACAAGCAAAATACATTGTGACGGGAAGGATAATAGTCACCCTATTTACGCCGGTTTTGAAAACAATATTTTTCCACGCTAACGGCATTTAGCACAGTAACACTATTTATCACGCTAACGCAACTTGTCACGGTAACGTTATTTATTACGGCACGCTATTTACTTCGGTGTCGGTATTTATTATGTTCACGGTATGGGCGGATTTAGCTCCAGCTCCAGAATCCGAATGTCGAGAAATTTACAATAAACAGTCTAATGAGTAAACTCAGTTCGGTAATTTTCGGTAAAGAGGGATTGCAGCAGGATATTTTCCGGCGTGAATTCAAATGGACTGGTCAGAATCGTTACAGGACGGAATTATCGGGATTACTCCACAATTAAGGAATCGGGATTTCTCCACAATAAAGGAATCGGGATTTCTCCACAATAAGGAAGTCGGTACGGTAGTCGGTTAAAAATCGGGATTACT